TTCACACCTGTAATCCCAAAGTGGGAGGATTGTTTTAGCCCAGGAGTCCGAAGACAAAATGAGGAGGCTTATGCCTGTCATCCCAGTGCTTTGAGGGCAAGGCAGGAGTGTGGTCCTGGGCAATACAGAGAGACCCCGTCTCTAGAAAAAATTTTTAAGAATTAGGCTGGGCTCTGGCTAGGCATGGTGGCTCATGCCTGTAATCCCAGCACTTTGGGAGGCTGAGGCAGGTGGATCACGAGGTCAGGAGTTCGAGACCAGCCTAGCCAGCATGGTGAAACCCCATCTCTACTAAAAATACAAAAAAATTAGCCAGGCTGGCCGGGCGCAGTGGCTCACGCCTGTAATCCCAGCACTTTGGGAGGCTGAGGCAGGCGGATCACGAGGTCAGGAGATCGAGACCATCCTGGCTAACACGGTGAAACCCCGTCTCTACTAAAAATACAAAAAAAAAAAATTAGCCGGGCGTGCTGGTGGGCGCCTGTAGTCCCAGCTACATGGGAGGCTGAGGCAGGAGAATGGCGTGAACCCGGGGGGCGGAGCTTACAGTAAGCAGAGATCGTGCCACTGCACTCCAGCCTGGGCAACAGAGTGAGACTCCGTCTCAAAAAAAAAAAAAAACATTAGCCGGGCTAATTTTAGCTGTAATGCCAGCTACTTGGGAGGCTGAGGCAGGAGAATTGCTTGAACCTGGGAGGTGGAGGTTGCAGTGAGCCAAGATCACGCCATTGCACTCCAGCCTGGGCGACAGAGCGAGACTCCATTTCAAAAAAAAAAGGAAATTTTTTTTTTAAAGAATTAACCAGGGAGGCTGGGCGTGGTGGCTCACGCCTGTAATCCCAGCACTTTGGGAGGCCGAGGCGGGCAGATCCCCGAGGTCGGGAGTTCAAGACCAGCCTGACCAACATGGAGAAACCCCGTCTCTACTACAAATACAAAAATTAGTCAGGCATGGTAGCGCATGCCCGTAATCCCAGCTACTCGGGAGGCTGACCCAGGAGAATTGCTTGAACTCGGGAGGCGGAGGTTGCAGTGAGTCGAGATTGCGCCATTGCACTTCAGCCTGGGCAACAAGAGCAAAACTCCGTCTAAACAAAAACAAAAACAAAAACAAAAGAATTAGCCAGGTCCCAGTTACTTGGGAGGCTGAGGTGGGAGGATCTCTTGAGCCTGGGAGTTGAAGGCTGCAGTGAGCCATGATTGCGCCACTGCACTCCAGCCTGGGAGACACAGGGAGACCCTGTCTCAAAAATGCACACACATTACTTTTGGGGGGGTCAGAGAGAGGGGAGGGGGTCTGAGTTAGTCACAATGAAATCTCACGTCGCCCCCATCAGATTGGCACGCCACGAAAAAGCACCCACTCTGACATTGCTGGTAGAACTGTGAATCATGAACACCACTGGGAAAAGCACTCCAGGGATTTCAAACTGAAGTTCCCTTCAGCCCTACAATCCCACTCCTGGGACCTAACTGGAAACGGGCCTGCCCCAGGGTGCAGAGGCCGGTGTGCGCAGTTTCTAGCAGAACTTGGCATGTCACCAAGCCAAAATGGGGCCCAGAAAAGTGAATGCATGACAGTGTGTGCCCTATGCTGTAATTTTTTTTTTTTTGGAGATGGAGTCTTGCTCTGTCACCCAGGCTGGAGTGCAGTGATGCCATCTCATTACAGCTAACTGTGTCACTGCAGCCTGGATCTCCTGGGTTCAAGCGATCCTCCCCACCTCAGCTTCCTGAGTAGCGGAGACTGCAAATACGCACCATCATGCCCAGCTAATTTTTTTGATTTTTGGTAGAGATGAAGTCTCCCTATGTTGTCCAGGGTGGTCTTAAACTCCTGAGGTCAAGCAATCCTTCCTTCTTGGCCTCCCAAAGTGCTGGGATTGCAGGCATGAGCCACTGCGCCTGGCCTAAAACTATTTTTGTTGTTGTTGTTTTTGACATGGAGTTTCACTCTTGTTGCCCAGGCTAGAGTGCAATGGCACAATCTCAGCTCACTGCAACCTCCACCTCCTGGGTTCAAGCGATTCTCCTGTCTCAGCCTCCCAAGTAGCTGGGACTACAGGCACCCGCCACCACGTCTGGCTAATTTTTTTGTATTTTTAGTAGAGATGGGGTTTCACTATGTTGGCCAGGCTGGTCTCAAACTTCTGACCTCAGATGATCTACCCACCTTGGCCTCCCAAAGTGCTGGGATTACAGGCGTGAGCCACCACGCCCAGCCCTAAAACTATTTTATATGGGGAGAAAATACCCAGGCCATGGCACCAGAAAGCAAGGAAGAAGCCACGTGGAAGCCCTCCTGGTGCTTCTTCAGGGAGGCCAGCAGAGAGCAGCTGGGGCCAGGAGGCGGCATGCCTGGGTTTCTGCTCCTCCTCACTGTAACTTTCAGCCAAGTCAAACTTCTAGAGTTTCTTTATCTGTGAAATGACGGGGCTGGCACAGATGGTTTCTAAGATCCCTCCCAGGCCTGGAACTTCTAAACCGTTACGTCAAAGGTGGGGGAGAGGCCCCATCTGGCAACCATTGGCTCCCCAGCTGTGGTGGGGACACGGTGGAGCAGCGACACTGAGACCAAGACCAGTAACAACAACGGCTGCCCTGACAGCCAGTCTCCCTGAGCGAGGCCGAGCTCCTCTGTGGGCTGCAGAGCTAGAAGGAGGCACAGCCGCCAGCCTCCTTCCTCCGGTGGCTCAGGGGTCGCTGGCACTTGCAAACACCGGGCCAGGGCTGATGTATTCTGAGGTCCCAGTCCCAGAAAGGGGGTTCGCCTGGGCAGGAAGGGATGCAGGAAGCTGTGTGACTAATGGCAGCTGGCCACACTTTGAGAAACACTAATTTAAAAAAGGGCCTGGGGAATGCAGGTTCCAGGCCGGAGCCTGCCTGGAGCCTTCCTGGCCACCTGCTCTGCCTTGCACAGGTTCTGGGGCTTCTGGCTCTGCTTGGGCTGGCTCAGTGCATGCTTGTTGGATTTAGCAAATAACAAACAGAATGCCCAGTTACATCTGAATTTCAGGTAAACAATACTTTTTTTAGTAGGAGAAATGTCTCGTGCAACATTTGAGACACACTTGTGCAAAACCATTGTTCATCGCCTGGTGTATAACCTGGCGACTCTGGGTGGCACCTGGCAAGAGAGGGGACAGCGGAGCCAGGCTTCCTGCAGTCTCTGCCCCTCTGGAGGTGTCCCCTCCACATAAGCCTCTCCTTTGGGTGGGGTCCACTCTTCCAGGGGTTCCACGAAACCGCCCTGAATCACCCCAATCTAGGTACACCACCTGTTTCCTGTGGGACCCCACCTGACCCAGGAGGCTCCCAGGGCTGTTTATTTACACAGGTATTGGTAGGAAGAAAAAGTAAAATCCTGATGAGTGCTTGTAGCTGCGAGATGTGGCATGAACAAAAGGGGGTTCCCACACTGCTGGATGAAGAGCCTGTCCCCACCCTGTCTCTGAGCCCTCATGGAAGCCCGCCTTCTCTTCGCCCTCCCTCCAGCCTCTGTGAAGTAAGGGTGGCCTCTCTGGTGATGTGTGCAGCCTCTTCCCTCTTCTAGGGCACGTGGTGCTTTCGAGACAACCTCAAATGGAACCAGGCTTTTTTCCAAGCAGGTACTGTCCTTGCTCTCCCCTGCCAACCACATGCCCCGCCCCCAGGCCCCAAGCCCTGGGTCAGGCCCTGCCATTTGCCCCAGGTCCTTAACTGGTGGCGATGTGCTCAGCCAGCCAGGACAGAACATCCAGCCCAGGTGCCCAGTTCCAGAAACAGCTCAGTCATCACAGCCATGGGCCAAATGCCAACCTTGAGGGCACTGAGCAGGTGCACATGGGTGGCCCATGCTGAGATGCCATTTGGCAGGGATAGGGCATCCTCTCTCCTCTGCCCTCACCTCTGGAGCTGATCACTTCTCCATTTAATTTGTGGGATTAAAGCAGACCCTCCTCAGTACTTAAGGCTCCAGGGACAAGACTATGGAGTCTGGGATGAAGAGCCCATGAGTTAAATGACATTAGCTTTCTTCAGGAGTCCCCCTTACAGGCCAGGCGCAGGGGCTCATGCCTGTAATCCCAGTACTGGGAGGCCAGGGCAGGTGGATCACCTGAGGTCAGGAGTTAGAGACCAGCCTGGCCAACATGATGAAACCCCGTCTCTACCAAAAATACAAAAATTAGCCGGGCATGGTGGTGGGTGCCTGTAATCCCAGCTACTCGGGCAGCTGAGGTAGAAAAATTGCTTGAACCCAGGGGGCAGAGGTTGCAGTGAGCCAATATCACACCACTGCAGTCCAGCCTGGGTAACAGAGCAAGACTCTGTCTCGAAAAAAGGAAGTCCCCTTTACAGAGCAGACGCCTTCAGATGAAAGGAGGTGAGGCACGCCTCTAAGTAACATAGTGACCAGCAGGAAGAAGGACTGCCCTGGGAGTAGAGAGGGTGGCATGGAGTCCTCAGTGCTTCTCTGGCTGCAGCCAAGGATGACCCAGCATCCTGACCACAAACTAGAGTCTGGGCCTTGGGCTCGAGGGCTCAAAAACTGTTGCATGAGAAGCACGTGCCACCTCCAGCACCCTGCCTGGCGATACTGTCCGCAGATCAGTTCACAAGGATCTGGGTGACGGGCACATGGGGACTGCTCAGACTGTAGCCACTAAGGACATCTAAGCCACACCCTGGCTCCAAGGGGAGACCCACAAAGCAACTTTCTGTTGAGAGTTCAACTTTTGACATTTGTGTGTTTCCTCATCTGGACACACCCTGCCTGGTTCCACAGATGATCTGAGGTGATGTGGCTCTCACGTGACCTGCCTACAGTTAACAGTCACAGATGTCATGGAGGTAATTAAGTGATTTCCCTGTCAGTCTGCTGGGCACGTATTTAGTGTGGCTCAGTCTCCCTGAATCCAGCCACCTCTAAGGACACTCACTGGTACCCCACTGACTGGCCTGCCTCGCTGCTGCCAGTCCACACCCACAGCTGACACCCCAAAGATACTCCAGACGATCGCTCTCTGTCCAACCACGAGCACAAGGGGCTTCTTGGTGTCATTTCCACTCCCCTTGCCAATATTTATTTGGAAACATTTCAAACTACAGGAAAGTTATGAGAATTACATCAGGAACACCCACATCCCTTGTGCCAAGATCTTTGCTTTATGTCTTTGAAAGTAAGTTGTCGAGATCACAGCACTCCATCCCTCCACACCAAAGCCTGTAGCTTCTCAGGAAAGGGCAGTGCTGTGTGATCAGTGCGTATCATCACACGTAGGATGCCCAACACTGGCACCATCTCAGAGTCTGTTTCAATGCTGGGGGTCGTCGGTTTTCAGCAGGTTCTTCCCACAGTTCAATGCGTCTTCCCGCCAGAGGGACAGAATCTTGGGTGAGTGTTGAAATGCGTCAGAAACAAAAACGCAAAGTGGAACTGGAGCACGTCACAGACCTTGGACCAGAAGTGGCCTGTGAGGCGCTGGAAGAGATGCCACCGTGCGAGCTGATGGTCACACAGCTTGAGGACCACAAAGCCCAGGCAAGAGAGCACCCCCAAAGCTAAGTAGGTGGCCGAGGTGGTGCTGCCATAGTGCCTGTGGGTGCGCAGCGCCTGCCCCACAGCGGCCACCACGTGAGCACCCAGTGCGACCTCGAAGCCCCGGGGATGCAGCAGAGCGAGGCCGTAACTGGCCAGGGAGATGCACTCAAGGGAGAGGAACAGCCAGGGCCGCCAGCCGTGGTCTAGGTAGAGGCACCATGCGACAGGCCACGCAAAGATGGGCAGGGTGAGCCACTGGTCCAGCACGGCGGTGCGGCGCCACTGCGTCCACAGGCGCAGCCACTGCACGGGGCCGTAGAGCAGGGCCATGGCTGCGAACACATCCTTCAGGTAGCGGGGACCCGGCCCCACCGCACCGCCCCTGTGCAGCCAGAATAGCCCTAGTAGCGTGTAGGCCACATTCACCAGTGAGTTGAACGGCATGGCCAGGAAGGCAGGGAGACCAGCCACCGGCGCCTCGGCGTAGTCCTCATAGCCCACTTGCACGGAGACGCTGTCAAAAATGCCTGTGAACACGGCCACAGCACAGAGGCCGCCGGCCACGGCCACGTGCATGAAGGCCTGCCCCCACTCTGGATTCATGTGGAACTGGTGGCCTGACCTGGGGCAGGAGCTTCAGAGAGCAGCCTTCACTACGCAGCCTCTGCAGAACACGCTGGGCCTCCAAGCTGAGCCAGCAGGAAGCAGCCCCGTGATTTCCGAGGCAGATGCTGCGACCTTGCCCCGAAGGAAGGCAGGAGTCCTGCTGATTGGCTGGCGCCAGCGGAGGAACGTTCTGCCTTTTTCCTTTGTGGTTACAAAAGGAGTGTGGTTAGAAAAGAAACCGTCCCCAGCACCGCCTCCATGTTCCTGACTCCCGGCCTCAGGAGCTACCAACCATATTCACGGGAAGAAGCAAATCAGAGTGAAACCACTGCACACTGGCTCTCTCACGCGTGGTCTCTACAATCCTCTATCGCCCCTTTCTCCTGGCACCTAAGAAAATCCTGCCCCTCGTCCTAGTTTCCTTAAAGCCACTGCATCTACAGACAAGACCTGCCTAGCTCTGTCATTACAACTCAGAACGTGCCTTCCCATGCCGGTGTGTTATAAAAGTGGATGTCTCCAGCCCCGAAGCCCTTTTCACCAAATACCCAGTTGAACCAGAGACCATTAGATGGAGCCCGAGCTCTGGCCTCTGACACGAGGTGGGGGAGGGAGGAGGAGAAGAATTCACCGTCTGCCACTCAAGCACCAGGCCGGGAGGCAAGGGGGTGACCTGTAGGCCTCCCAGGCCAGCTTCCCTGGCTCACTCACCTGCCCTCTCCTGAAGTGCCAAGCCCCAAATCACCTGCTTTTCTCAGGCCACCATAAAGCCTTCCGTCTCCTTCAGTCACAGAACCAGAGAGACAATTTAATTATCACTGACTGTCAACTGCTTTGGGGCCAGTGGTGCTGTGAGTGACCCTAGTAGCTGAGAAACACATTAATATGGAAGGGAGAACAGCTTTAATGCTCTGAAAATGACTCCAATCATTAAAGCTCTTCTCCCTTCCATATTAATAAATTTGGCACTCAAGAGGGTGGGCAGGCAGGCGGGTTCAGGGAGAAAGAAGGGTGGGCTCCAGTTCCTGGTCAGCTGATGCCAGACTGTTCAAACCCTGGCTCTCCCACCGACTAACCATGTGATCTTGTACCTTAACTGTCTTGGGCCTCGGTTTGCGCACCTTTTTTTTTTGTTTTTTTTTTTTGAGACGGAGTCTCATTCTGTTGCCCAGGCTAGAGTGCAGTGGCACAATCTTGGCTCCCTGCAACCTTCACCTCCCAGGTTCAGGTGATTCTCCTGCCTCAGCCTCCCTAGTAGCTGTGATTACAGGCACGCACCACCATGCCCAGCTAACTTTCCTATTTTCAGTAGAGATGAGGTTTCACGACGTTGGCCAGGCTGGTCTTGAACTCCTGACCTCAAGTGATCCACCCGCCTCAGTCTCCCAAAGTGCTGGGATTCACAGACATGAGCCACCGCGCCCAGCACAGTTAGCTCATCTTTGACCTAATGGCTTAGAAGTTCCAGGCCTGGGAGGGATCTTAGAAACCATCTGTGCCAGCCCCGTCATTTCACAGATAAAGAAACTGAAACTCTAGAAGTTTGACTTGGCTGAAAGTTACAGTGAGGAGGAGCAGAAACCCAGGCATGCCGCCTCCTGGCCCCAGGTGCTGTCTGCTGGCCTCCCTGAAGAAGCACCAGGAGGGCTTCCACGTGGCTTCTTCCTTGCTTTCTGGTGCCATTGCCTGGGTATTTTTATTTAGACATGGAGGTCTTGCTCTGTTGCCCAGGTTGGAGTGCAGTGGCACAATCATAGCTCACTGCAGCCTCTACCTCCTGGGCCCAAGCTATCCTCCTGTCTCAGCCTCCCAAGTAGTTGGGACCAGGTGTATACCACCACCTTGCCCTGCTAATTTCTGTGAAAAAATTTTTGGGGCCAGGCATGGTGGCTCATGCCTGTAATCCCAGCACTTTGGGAGGCCGAGGCGGGCGGATCACAAGGTCAGGAGATCAAGACCATCCTGGCTAACACGATGAAACCCCATCTCTACTAAAAATACAAAAAATTAGCCGGGCGTGGCGGCGGGCGCCTGTAGTCCCAGGTACTCGGGAGGCTGAGGCAGGAGAATGGCGTGAATCCTGGAGGTGGAGCTTGCAGTGAGCCGAGATCTCGCCACTGCACTCCAGCCTGGGCGACAGAGCGTGACTCCATCTCAAAATAATAATAATAATATAATAATAATAAATAAAAATTAAAAAATTTGTAGAGACAGGGTCTCACTATGTTGCCCAGCCTGGTGTCGAACTCTTGGCCTCAAGTGATCCTCCTGCCTCAGCCTCCCAAAGTCCTGAGATTACAGGAATGAGCCACTGCACCCAGCTAAACCCCTCTTAAGTTGAAAGTCCAGTTCCAATATTTTCAACTTATGATGGGTTTATCTGGACATTACCCTGTTATACGCCAAAAAGCATATGTAGCTGGGCATGGTGGCTCACATCTATAATCCCAGCAATTTGGAAGGCCAAGGTGAGAGGATTGCTTGAGTCCAGGAGTTTGAGACCAGCCTGGGCAACAAAGTGAGACCCTGTCTCTACACAAAATACATAAAATTAAATTTAAAAAATAAAATAAAAATTAGCTAGGCATGGTGGTGCACCTATAGTCCCAGCTCCTCAGGAGGCTGAGGCAGGAAGATCACTTAAGCCCAGGAGGTGGAGGCTGCAGCGAGCTATGATCATGCCGCTGCACTCCAGCCTGGGCCACAGAGCAAGACCCTATCTCAGAAAAAAAAAAAGCCAGGCGCAGTGGCTCACACGTATAATCCTATAATTCTACCACTTTGGGAGGCCGAGGTGGGTGGATCATCTGAGGGCAGGAGTTTGAGACCAGCCTAGCCAACGTGGTGAAACCCTGTCTCTACCAAAAATACAAAAAAATAAGCCAGGCACAGTGGCTCATGCCTGTAACCCCAACACTTTGGGAGGCTGAGGCAGGCAGATCACTTGAGATCAGGAGTTCCAGACCAGTCTGGCCAACATGATGAAACCCTGTCTCTACAAAAATACAGAAAAAGTAACCAGGCGTGGTGGCGCATGCCTGTAATCCCAGCTACTTGGGAGGCTGAGACGGGAGAATCGCTTGAATTCAGGAGGCAGAGGTTACAGTGAGCCAAGATTGTGCCATTGCACTCCAGCCTGGGCGACACCGCGAGACTTCATCTCAAAAAGCAAAACAAAACAAAACAAAAAATTAGCCAGGCGTGGTGGCACACACCTGTAATCCCAACTACTCAGGAGGCTGAGACAGGAGAATCGCTTGACGCACTACACCTCCAGCCTGGACCCAAACGAATGAGACTCCGTTTCCACAAAACAAAA